CTCTGTGATGGGTACACTGATTAAGCTTCACTAATGGATGCGCTGAGAGGTACATTGATGGATGCGCTGACAGGTACACTAATGGTCTGCACTGACAGGTAAACTGTTTGCTGTTGTGACAGATATGATGATGGGCTGCTCTGACAGGTACACTGATAGATGTGCTGACAGGTACACTGATGGATGAGCTGACAGGTACACTGATGGGCTGCTCTGACAGGTACACTGATAGATGTGCTTAGAGTTACACTGGTGGGCTGCACTGACAGGTACACTGATGGATGTGCTGACAGGTACACTGATGGGCTGCTCTGACAGGTACACTGATGGCTGCACTGACAGGTACACTGATGGATGTGCTGACAGGTACACTGATGGGCTGCTGTGGCAGGTACACTGATGGCTGCACTGACAGGTACACTGATGGATGTGTTGGTAGGTACACTGATGGGCTGCTGTGGCAGGTACACTGATTGGCTGCTGTGGCAGGTACACTGATGGGCTGCGCTGACAGGTACACTGATGGGCTGCGCTGACAGGTACACTGATGGGCTGCGCTGGCAGGTACACTGATGCGCTGCACTGGCAGGTACACTGATGGGCTGCACTGGCAGGTACACTGATGGGCTGCACTGGCAGGTACACTTTCAATCCTGCTGCGATCAGGGCACTGATTGGCACAGAATGTAAGTGGTTAAGCGGTAACTCACTGTCCCCAGGGTCTCCTCCTCACACATGATCTGGATACTGCTGTTTGTTTACATTTGTGATCAGCTGTGACTGGTTTCATGCATTTCCATGTAGTGTGTGCTAAAAGTTTGTGTTTTTTTTTGTGTGTGTGTGGGGGGGGGGGGGAATGAAGGTTTTAGCTTTGAAAGTAAAAACAATATACTTACATTATCATTACCAAAAGCATTTCCACCAAATGTTTTTATTGAAAAAATAACATTTCAAGATACTAATGGGAAATATTTGGTCAGTATTTTACTAAAATAATGGCACTTCCATGTTCTGTGGGAGGTCAGATATAGTGAATGCAGGGTCGTGGGTTTAGCAACACTTTAAGTGCAAAAATGTCACCATTCAATTTCCCAAAGGTTTTGTGATTTACTGCTGTCATTTTACCCACCTAGCCATATGTATAAATTCAAATATGCAATTAGTTTCTGGGATGTAAAAGAGATTCATACTGATACTACCCATAGTCACACACATATTGAAAAGAAAGTAAAATAATAAAAAGGTATGGAGGTGACAGTATTGTTTTGTCTTGTAGCCAATGGAAGAATGGAAGTAAAAAATAGCTGTGCTCAGTATGCGGAAAGACAGAACAAATGCGTATTTTATTTACAGCCTGTATACTGTTCTGTGGAACACTACAATTCCAATACAAGAGAAATTCAAAAATGATGAACAGATGCATTTATTTTCTGACCCTTACGGCTGTGCATGCACAGGGAAAGGGTGTTCTGTTTTACTTATAGATCTGAGAACTGCTCTCCTTACCAAAGGATTTTTTATTTTTGTCTATCCAGTTCTGAGATTTAGGGCTCGTTCACACTTGGCTGTTTTACCAACGCTTGCCAAACTCCCCCATAGCGTTTGGCAAGTGTTGGTCCGGCGTTTGCGGAGCGTTTTTTAACGCTCGGCAAACGCTCCGCAAATGCCGCATGCGCGGTTTAGTGGCGGTTTCTAGGCGTTTGCCGAGCGTTAATAACGCCCTACAAACGCCTATAATACAGTTTGAGTGGTGTTACTGCTCCGCAAACGCCCCGCAACCGCGTTGCAACCGCACCGCAAACGCCGGCCGGGCGTTTGCGGAGCGGCACCATAGACGAGAATAGGAGGCTTCAAAGCCTCCTGACTTGACCAGAGGCGTCCGTTTTGCCGCGACGCAACGCGATGCAACGCAAACGCTCCCGTTAGAACAGCACCATGTGCTGTAATGTGCAGAATTGGCAGAGGCGTTTGGGAAGAGGTAAAAACGCTTCCCAAACGCCTCTCTGCCGCCTGCACACAAGGCTAGTGTGAACGTAGCCTTACACAGCTCTTCTGTCCAGCAGAGCCCTGCATAGCAGATGACCTGATTTTCTCTGTTGCAGTTAAGTTTCACTTACAGGTCTTGTCCCTCCCTCAGCCTGTGATTGCATAGTAAAAGGAAAAGTAGCACACTGATTATTTGATATCTTTATCACTCTGTTCTCTTCTTTCTTTATGCTGTTTGTTAACAAATGAGCACTGCATCCAAATGACTGGGTCATTGTGCTTATTCTCCCTTTCCTAGTCTGTACAGACAATTGCAAGAGGCTGATATCGGGTCAAATTGTAGAAGTAGTTACACTGCTTGCATTTTTAAAAAAAAAATAATGAATATGGAGCTGCATCAGTTTGTGTCTTGTATATATGCTAGGAGTTCATAATTTAACCTCTTAGGTAACAGATAATAGGTGCTACTTCTTACAAGGTTCAAGTTTCTATGTTACTGACCACTTTACTGGATTCCACTTCCTGGGTTATAATGTGTTTATTTTGCTGCAGAGTAAATAGTATACAGCTACAGTTCTAAATTCATTTTCCGCAATAATGTAAAAAATATTTAGGTATTATTACCGCCCCCTAACCCACCCCTGTACAATTACGTAAGCTCTCACTCAATCCAGCACTGTGCCGTCTGTAGCAACTATCTCCTCTCTCACAGGCTTTGCAGAGGCAGCGGGAGCCACTGTCAGTCAAATCCTGTGATGACGGAGTGGAGGGCAGGACCAAGCCACGCCGTCTGTGTCCATGGATGCAGACAGCGTGGCTTAGGATTGAGGTGTGCCACAATAAAGGAGGTGCTTCTTTTGGTGCCACACCATAATTCTATTGTACAGAGCAGGTAAGTATAACATGTTTGTTATTTAAAATAAAGAATATTTACAACCACTTTAAGATCTGTTTATACCAGGGGTAGTGGGATGGCATTAAGAGGCTATTCCAGCACAATCCCATCGAAAGACAAGAAATCCCTGGAGGAACCCTCTGCACACTGCTATATACCCTTTCCAGCAAACTTCGGAATTAAAAATAGGGATATTTAGTTCACAGATATTGCAATACATGTTTAAGCTGGCCAACTGCGTCAAAGTAATCCCTCTATGGCCAGTCCTACTCTGCTCTTCCTACACAATTACTACTGTGGACACAATGCCAACCTAGGGCAAACAGACACAAAGCGGGAGAGAGATACTAAAGCCTGCCATACATGGGTCGAATTCTGAAAGAATTTTCTTTCGAAAATCTTTTCTAAGAATTTTCGTTCAAATTTCGCACCATTAATGTAAGGCATTTCTGGCAAGAAGAATCACGATCAGAAATGCACATGAGCACAGGAATGCGCGATCAGAAATGCACACGCACGGCAAAGATTGGCGCCAGGCAGCCTATTTAAGGAGTGCCTCTGCTCATGTTCAGTGCTGACTGGTCTTCAGCTCCCCCGTGTGCTGCTTGTTCCTGTATGATTTCTTTGTTGCTGACCCGGCTTGTTCCTCACCTGACTCTGATTGCTCTCCTGATACTGGTTCCTGACTTCGGCTCTGCTCCTGACCTTGGCTTTTCCTTCTGATTCTGTACCATGCTGCTCGACTGTTGATGACCCCGGCTATTCCATGATATTGCTCCTGTCCCTTGTCCTCACTACCTGCCTTGCTCTGGTGCACGCCTGGCAATCTGCAAAACCTGTGCTGCCTACTACTACTGTGCCAAAATCAGAGATCATCAGCCTTCCAAGGTCTTCATCTGCAAGAGCTGAAAACAACAACTACTGGCACTCTTGTTCTCCTGGGTCCTAGACTCCCTCTGTTGCAACTCCAGTGGGTTCAGGGCTGGTGACACAAGTGAGGCCGACCTCGTCATTTCAGTCTCCCATCAGGTACGTGACAATTAGCGGGTCACAGAAATGGCCGATTTTCATGTGACCATCGAATTTAAGTGATCGGGCATGTTGGAATTTTTTTGCAAAACGAACAAATTTAGAATCAATGTTGGGAGAATCGTGCGAGAAATATAAATAAATAAGAAGTGAGAATAAGCTGTGACCTGGAAAGAAAAGAAAATTTTTAGCCACGAAAATTCTTTTCTGTAGCAACATGAGGTGAAATTGAAGGCTTGGTTGGTTGAAGTTTGTAATCAATGGTGGCACCATCGGATTACAAAACACACAAAATTTCCAATTTTCCTAAAGAAAATTGGTTCGGAATTCGACCCATGTATGGCCTGCAAAAGTTAAGGTTTAAATTAAATAAAATTGTCCAGGATATACATATACACCTGTATAAATAAAGGTGATAGTTTGTGCAGATAAATGGTGCGGAATCACAATAAAATCCAGTGGCACCATTTATCTGCACAGACTGTCACCTTTATTTATATATCCTAGACAATTTTATTTAATTTAAGTTTATTGAATATCTAATGTGGGACAGACTATCTTAACCTCCCTAGCGTTCTGATTATGTCCATATTTCTGTGCTCAAAGTGGTCAATTTTTGCATGGAAATATGTATTTTTTTTATTGTAGGCCTGTAATTTTTAGGAATAACTCACTGAAATCTGTCCAAACAAGAGTCTAGTAAACATCCCGGGTATGATAAAATTTGAAACAAAAAATCATAAATTATAATTTAATAAATAATCATAAAAAATAATAATATAATAATAATACATTTAATTCAATAATATAATCAAACCAAAAAACACTGAAATTTGAAATATAGTGCCAAGTTCGCACATCATTGAGCAAAGTCGCAAAATAGTTTTCAGTGTTTGATGACGAATTTCCCCACGAATCATTATCACTCAATTCTGCAAGTAGTTCTGATTTACTATTGCTGTATTCTAGCTGGTCTAAAACCGCTTTTGACCTAAAGGGATGCTTTTTGGATGCCATGGACGTTTCTCAGTTTCCAGACAGAAAGAACAGTAAAATTGTAGGCAGGGCACAGGAAAGCACTATGGACAAAATGTATGTGAAATGGTTTGATACAGTAATGTTTTACTATGTGATTTTAGTGAATGTCACTTTTTGTCATTTTCAAATTTCCCACCGTTCCGTCCCTAGGCCCTCCGTACATCCCGACAACGCAGGGGACGGAACCTAGATGACAGATGCCGGCATCCGCCGAGAGGACATTGCCGGGGACACTGCAGGAGGGACATCACGGGAGCGCAGGACAAGGTAAGTGATCGAGGGATCGTGAGCAGCGCCGCATGGTAAGCCCGAGTGTAGCTTGTAGTACCGCTTGGGGTACTGAAACTTTACCCCCGAGCTACACTCGGGAATACGACCAGGGAGGTTAATACTATTTTTAGCGCTGCACTTATTTTTATATGTTTCTGACAAGGTTTTATACTGGTTGCCTTGAGTGTTTCAGTTGCTGATTAGAGAGCGCTCACTTCTCTATTGTATTTTTAAAAGTTAAGGTTTGGCTACTGACCTGCAATGCAACAGAAACAAGATATACCTGTGCTCAAATCCCCAATAGCTTGTACATACATTTATCCATCTATATGGTGCTAAGTAGGTGTAAACACATGATAACACTGAAAACCCTGGAGGAACCCTCTGCACACTGCTATACAGTGGGGCAAAAAAGTAGTATTTAGTCAGCCACCAATTGTGCAAGTTCTCCCACTTACAAAGATGAGAGAGGCCTGTAATTGGCATCATAGGTAGACCTCAACTATGAGAGACAAAATGAGAAAACAAATCCAGACAATCACATTGGCTGATTTGGAAAGAATGCATTTGAAAATTATGGTGGAAAATAAGTATTTGGTCAATATCAAAAGTTCATCTCAATACTTTGTTATATATCCTTTGTTGGCAATGACAGAGGTCAAACGTTTCCTGTAAGTCTTCACAAGGTTGGCACACACTGTTGCTGGTATGTTGGCCCATTCCTCCATGCAGATCTCCTCTAGATCAGTGATGTTTTGGGGCTGTCGCTGGGCAACACGGACTTTCAACTCCCTCCAAAGGTTTTCTATGGGGTTGGGATCTGGAGACGGGCTAGGCCACTCCAGGACCTTGAAATTCTTCTTTCAAAGCCACTCCTTCGTTGCCCGGGTGGTATGTTTGGGATCATTGTCATGTTGGAAGACCCAGCCACGGTTCATCTTCAATGCCCTTGCTGATGGAAGGAGGTTTGCACTCAAAATCTCACGATACATGGCCCCATTCATTCTGTCCTGTACATGGATCAGTAGTCCTGGTCCCTTTGCAGAGAAACAGCCCCAAAGCATGATGTTGCCACCCCCCCATGCTTCACAGTAGTATGGTGTTCTTTGGATGCAACTCAGCATTCGCTCTCCTCCAAACATGACGAGTTGTGTTTCTACCAAACAGTTCTATTTTGGTTTCATCTGACCATATTACATTCTCCTAATCCTCTTCTGGATCATCCAAATGCTCTCTAGAAAACTTCAGACGGGCCCAGACATGTACTGGCTTAAGAAGGGGGACACGTCTGGCACTGCAGGATCTGAGTCCCTGGTGGTGTAGTGTGTTACTGATGGTAGCCTTTGTTACGTTGGTCCCAGCTCTCTGCAGGTCATTCACTAGGTCCCCCCGTGTGGTCCTGGGATTTTTGCTCACCGTTCTTGTGATCATTTTGACCCCACGGGGTGAGATCTTGCGTGGAGCCCCAGACAGAGGAGATTATCAGTGGTCTTGTATGTCTTTCATTTTCTAATTATTGCTCCCACAGTTGATTTGTTCACACCACGCTGCTTGCCTATTGCAGATTCAGTCTTCCCAGCCTGGTGCAGGTCTACAATTTTGTTTCTGGTGTCCTTTGACAGCTCTTTGGTCTTCACCATAGTGGAGTTTGGAGTGTGACTGTTTGAGGTTGTGGACAGGTGTCTTTTATACTGATAACAAGTTCAAACAGGTGCCATTGTTACAGGGTTAATTAGTGCAGGACAGAGGAGCCTCTTAAAGAAGAAGGTACAGGTCTGTGAGAGCCAGAAAATCTTGCTTGTTTGTAGGTGACCAAATACTTATTTTTCACCATAATTTGCAAATAAATTCTTTCCAAATCAGCCAATGTGATTGTCTGGATTTTTTTTCTCATTTTGTCTCTCATAGTTGAGGTCTACCTATGATGCCAATTACAGGCCTCTCTCATCTTTTTAAGTGGGAAACTTGCACAATTGGTGGCTGACTAAATACTTTTTTGCTCCACTGTATACCCTAGCAAACTTTCCAATTAAACTTTCTAGCAACTCTCTTGCAGACTTTGCAATTAAAAATAGGGATTTTTAGTTCACACATATTGGAATTGTGTCCACAGTAGCATTTGCGTAGGCAGAGCAGAGTAGGACTGGCCAAAAGGGATTACTTTGATGCAGCTAGCCAGCTTAAACATGTATTGCAATATGTTTGAACTAAAAATCCCCATTTTTAATTGCAAAGTTTGCTGGAAAGGGTATATACCAGTGTGTAGAGGGTTTCTCTAGGATTTCTAGTGTTAACATGTGGTTACACCCCTTTAATACTTTATGAATGCATGTGCGAGCTATTGGGATTTGAGCACAGGTATATCTTGTTTCTGTTCCATCATAAGACAATGCACAACGCCTTGTCTCCTATTCACCAGGTTCAATGTGGTGGAGTGAATGTGGAGTGAACAATAGGCCATAGATGTTATATCTGATACAACAGTAAATAAAGGTGATCCCACTGCACCATAGCGCACACCAGCCTCCAATGAATGCAACAAATGGTGTGAATTAGCCCTTACAGCAACAATCATGTAATTTAGATGTTATATCTTATACAACAGTAAATAAATAGTCTTCTGATAAGCAGTGACTGTGTAATATACTGTAACTGTATATCAAGGTATTCTGGTTGAGCAGAGGAGTCCAAACTCAACCAAGCTACTAGAAGTAACAATAACAAAACCATTTTTTACAATGGTATAGGGAGTGATAACAAGGCTATCAATGGAGGTTTGTGGTAGCTGCAAAGGTGGGCAGAGTTGCAGCCACAGCATTTGGTTCAAATCAACTTGGTGTCAACTACAGTTCCACTTTAGTAAGGCCTAATTACAACTTATGCAGTGAATTGTGCTCAGCTAAAGAGGTGCTTAGAAACTGTTGGACAGCTTGAGCTTTCATATCCCTGTTGTCCTTATTGGTATATCAGCCTCCTCCTGTGCCGCACATACATTTTCTAATTCAGAGCACCTGGTTAATTTTACTTGTACAAGAATAATAAGGGCAAGATTTCGTTCTTCAGTCTCAAAAGTGCATTATGAGGCATGACTACAAGTTACTTTTGTCCTTCAACTCTTTTTCAAAATGCTTCAATAATCAAAACCACAATTAATGTGAGGATGTTCTCAGACATATCTATTTATGTATGAAAGCATTTTCTCTTGTATAAGGAATAATTTCCTTTATTTTACTCTTTATATTTAATTTATGGTAAGTTCTTGCTAGCCCCAGCATGTAAATGGGACTTTCTGAATTAATATAGTATTTAAAAAAAAACAAGTAAGAGAGAACTAATATCTGAAGTACCTTAAAACAGTCATCTTTTAAGAACCTGTCCATTGAACTGTAAATTAGGTACAACTCCTCAGTTCTTGAAAACGACGTTTATAAATGTAAGTACTGCATTAAAAACAATAGCTAAATCAAGCTATCATAGGGTGGGGAGAGAAAAGATTTCCACATTCATCACTTCTTCACCCCTCTGCTTCACCCCAAAACTTGTACATCTCACCCTCACTGCTACCATCTCCCTACTACTGCTCTCATCACCTCCTGCTGATACTTTACTCTCCTGTGACTCAAACACCAGGACTGGAAGGCATGTACACTCGTGTACATCCGGCTCCCATGTTACTTTCCTCACCCTTCTTCTTCTCCTAACCTCTGGGGATATCTCCCCAAACCCTGGTCCTCCAGTATCTCACCCCACACCAGGCATCCTCTTTCTTCCGGGAATAGCCGCAATTCCCCTCAATTTAATATCAGTCCCCATGCTCCCAAAAACCACCCTCCCTTTTCCATGTGCGCTCTGGAATGCCCGCTCTTTCTGTAATAAGCTCACCTCTGTCCATGACCTTTTTCTCTCTTAACCTACTAGCAATTACAGAAACCTGTCTTCAAGCAGCATATTTTGTTTCTCCCGCAGCACTTTCCTATGGAGGCCTTCTCTGGACCCACTCATCCAGACCCAGTGGTCGGAAAGGTGGTGGATTTGTTTGCTTCTATCCCCACTGAGCACCTTTCAAGTCCTCCCTAACCTTCCCTCTCTATCCTTCTCTTCTTTCGAGACTCACTGCACCTGGCTGTTTTCTCCCATTTCTCTGAGGATTGCAGTGATCTATCGACCTCCTGGACCGGTGTCCCGCTTTCTTGATGTTTTCTCCGCCTGGCTACCCTACTTTCTCTCCTCTGAACTACCCACTATCATTCTCGGAAATTTTATCATCCCTATTAATGTCAACAACCTGGCTACATCCCAACTCTTCAACTTAACCTCATCTTTTGCATTAGCACAATGTATACAGTCCTACACTCACTCTGATGGGGATACACTAGATCTTGTTTTCTCCCATCTTTGCACTCCCTACAACCTCACAAACACCCCCTTTCCTCTCTCTGATCACAATCTCATCACCTTCACAGTGTCCTCGTCTTCAAAAACACCTATTGCTCCAAGCAGCAAACAATTACCTGCAGAGACCTTCACAACTTGAACCCTGCTCCTTTCCACTCTGCAACTGACCAACTCTATGACAGAATCTCTCCCCTGTCCTGCCCTGACCTGGCCACTGCTGTCTACAACAGTTCGCTTTCATCCACATTAGACTCACTTGCTTCTCTAACAACACGAAGCATCAGGCCCCGACCATTACAACCTTGGCAGACTGACGACACCATAAATCTTAAACGACATAGTTGTGCGCTGGAGCGATTGTGGCATAAAACCAAATCTCAACAAGCATTCACCCTATATAAATCTGCTTTCTTAACATACAGTTCCCCCCTTCATGCTGCCAAACAAGCCTATTTTGTCACTCTTATTAATACCTTGTCATCCAGTCCTCTTTGTCTCTTCTCTACTTTTAACTCTCTACTTTCTCCACCTCCACCCAGTACCTCACTCACTGCTCACGAGATTGCAAATCATTTCAAAAACAAGATTGACGCAATTCGTAGGGGCATCGCCACTGCACAGACATCCATCCCACTTAGCATACCTTATACTAAACCTAACTCAACACTTTACTTTTTTGACCTTGCTACTACCGAAGAGGTCACTAAGGTTTTCTCATAAGCC